AGGTTTGTCCAGTGCTACTGAAGTTCAAGCCTTAGATTAGTTCCTATTAGGGCTGGGCGATAATTCAATAACGATATATATCGATCGATAGACGTGTGGCGCAATAGAAAAAAAGAGGGTCGATAAAAGTTCGATAAAAAAGAAACACAGTTTTCCTTCCTTCTCATTGTAGCCTAGCATGTAGGTTTATGCTAGTCACTGCTTCCTCCCAACCAATCACAATCGCGGACCCAGGCACGCCGTCACAAAGCGCCGCCCTCTCAAACCACAACACAGAGCACATGAAGATGTCGCAGCAAGGAGAGTCGGAGGAAATTGTTTCAAAGAAGGGTTTTTGTAGTTCGGCAGTCTGGCAGTATTTTGGTCATGGCAAGTCGGACCAAAAACAAACCACAATAAAATGTGTAGGGAACCAGTGAAAACCAAGTCTGATAACACAACCAACTTTTTTTTTTTTTATCATCTCAGCCGCTCACACCCGCAGGAGTACGAGCTGTGTAGGCCTCGGCACGGCTCTCCTCCGAGGAATCTTCGGGAATTTCGGGAAAATATATATATATATTCAGTTGTGGGCAGTTTCCCACGTAGTTCTAACAATTGAGATAAAAATGCTGAGGGGCCAGAAACTTCAAAGTAATAACTCAGGTTAAAGCAGGAAACGGGGGCGGCGGCGGTGGGGGGGCATTTATTTATTTGTTATATTTATTTTGTTCACTTTAGTTTATTCTTTGTCAGTATTTAATAACATAATCCAGGTCTCTTAAGTTATTTTTCTTTAAAACAATTCTGTTATGGTTAAAAAAGTTGGTTAAATAAAGATTTAATTCGAAGTCTGTGTTTGTGTTTTTTATTAAAATTAAATCACTTAGCAATATTATAAAAAGTCCAGGCAGAGATGCACATAAAATATGGTTTCAAATCTTTTCAATAATCATCGATATCGATCAATATGCATTTTTTTTTATCGATACGCTTTTTTTCTATATCGCCCAGCCCTAGTTCCTATTCCCCCAAATTAAGAAATAACTCATGAGTGAACACTTTGTTATTAAAGACCATTCTATAAGAACTTTCCTACAGTAGTTGCAGTTATAAGACACTTATCATTGTGGCATAAAGTTGGCTCCAGCCAAGAGCATCTTGCTCTCTGGACAGCTGCTTGCCAATGTGGGTGATGTTTTTGTTACATGCCAATTTTACATCATATCTCATCTACCTTTACCATCATTGCATGCAGGGCATTTTTAACATTGATATAATCATTTTATAATGCATGGTTAACATATGTTATTAAAATAAAAATGGAGGTAGCTACGCTTTGATTATAAATCTTTCTGTTTCCAACTTTAAGTGAAGATGATAACATTCATCAGCTGAAATCCTACCTTCCAGTGAGATTTTCATTTCAGCATTGGGTATAGAATTGTGCTCCTCTTGTAGCCAAAGCATAACTCACCCTGTCTTTGAAAAGAAAAGTTTGTATTTGTCCAATTATATACTACATCCATTTGACAGATCACTCACAGCTACAGAAGAGGGAGAAGGTAAAAAAGCCTCGGCTGTTTCTAGGATTTTATAAACTTAGGGTAAAATTTGAAATGGAACCAGGTATTAAACTATATTCTATTTACATATATGTTCCCAAGCTAAAACAAAAATTTAATTCTAGTGATGTTCAGAAATCTGTTCTGAAAAAATAAAACTCTCTAGACAAATATAGGAATCCTGAAAAAACAAAAAAATGGAAGAAAGCTTGATGCTAGATTTACTTAGAAGCTAAGCCATGGACTTCCTAAAGTCCCCTAAGTATGCTACTACAATATGGCTTGCTGCAAGTGTCTGCTGAATTTTGCTTATCCCATCTGCTCAAAGGGAGGCAAAGGGGGATCAAGTAGCGGAAGGAATGGCAGAAGGAAAGAGAGACAACTGAAGACAAAATTAAAGACGAACACAAATACGACTACAGGGAGGAGAGGTGAATTGGGTTGGAAAGACAGCGGAGAACAATCTGAAATTAATCTGGACACACCAGATGGCTTGAAGTTTGTGCATGTACATAATAGAGCGCACACGTATACATGCTTTATCCCTAACTAGCAGCTTGTCTGTTTGAGCTTATGTACAGAGATCAGTAGCTTGTGCGTTTATGAGCTTTTTGTGAATTTTGTGCTTTTCTCACACCATTTAGAACATCTGTTTTGTTATGATAGGTGTTGTTATGAGCTTATTAGAAAAGGAAAGGCAAAAAAGACATACAGAAAGTGCCTGGTATATACACTCAACCCCCCGTAAAAGTAAGGGCACTGACAACAACATTATTTCCTTCCACCCACACTTTTCATTGTGGGATCAGAGGGGAAAGTTGCCAGTCCAATATTGAGCAATCAAGAGACACAACAAACAATGATGAAGTACAAACTCATATTGAATGGTAGCAAATTTTTTAACTGTTCCTGTTAGTTTTATGGTCATTGCATGACCATAAAACTAACTACGGGCGAGTGGTGCGGTACACCAGGGTGTACCCCTCCTCTGAGAAATGTAACAGTTAAAGGTATAACAGTTTCCTCCACAACATCCACTTCATTTTTTTAATCACCCCATATGTGCTTAATAACACTAATTATAGAGAACCTCAGAAACTGCCTTATAATTTCATGAGAGTTCAAAATATTATTTAAAAGCATTTAGAGTAAAATATTAAAAGATTAAAAGGGAATAGAACAGTGGTTCCTAACCCTGGTCCTCAGGGACCCCTGGCCTGCATGTTTTAGATATGCCTTTGCTCCAGCACACTTGATCAAAATTAGAGCTCCTCAATTGCAATCAAGAAATACAGAAGCCGGTTAATCATCATTTTTTTTTTTGGTGTGAAAAAACAAGGAAAGACGTCAAACTTTCAGGACAGGGGTCCCCGAAGAACAGGGTTGGGAACCACTGGAATAGAAAAAAACATTATGACAATACAGATAAACATTACCATTCTAATTGAGTAGATAGAGAGTAACTCTGAGAAATGTTCAAAGGACTATGTGTCTTTGTAACTGACTCCTTAGGTATCTAAAAATTGACAGTAAAATAATAAAAAAGTTTTCTAGATTTAATGTAGGGATTCCTTGGGTGGAATAAAACCCCCATGAGTAGAAAGAGTTAACAATTTAAAAATTGGACAAAGGCATTTTTTACTATTGGCAGAGGGTGTTTTTCACCCAGATATAATTCATTAAAATACAAATAAAAAGGGTAAAGACAGCAAAGAGGTGATGTTGAGAGAACAATACGCAGCTGAGCACACCACCAGGGCAAAACGCAAGAGCAGACACAAAGCTTAGCATGCCAAAAACCATTCATCCATAAGCTACAGTATAGAGAAGAGTTTGTAAGAATTTAAAGCACACCAGACACATATTGAACCGGTGTGCAAAAACAGAACTCAGCTGTTTGACTGCATGCTCTGCAGGTCTTCCAGGAACTGTGTGTTTCCTAATTATTTTATTGGTATGCAGTACCGGACCATTCTGGTTTACCTGCACCACTGTTATTACCCAAAAATAATTTTCAGCACATTTTACTGGTTTTTAGTTCACTTTGCTTACTTGTATTCTTTTTTAAGTGTTATAATTAACTTGCCATGCTCTACATCTTTTGTGCATTTACAGCCCTGTAAACCACCTTGTTCCCTTAAGTCAGCTGATATCACCAGTCCTATACTTTTGAGGAATAAGGCCTTTTACACTGGGCAGGCATCACCCCTGGTGAATTTTAAATATCTTTTAAAAACACATCTTTGCTATTTGGCTTTTAATGCTTTGAAAAGAATTTTTTTTTTAAATACAGTTGTCAAACTTACCCAGAGCCATAGCTTTGTTGAACCGTCCATACCACCTGCTCTTGGCAGTAATACTTTTATGGGATTATTTATAAATAAGATGGATTTTATTAAAAATCATTGGCACTCCTCTAACTAGGATTGGTTTATCTCTGAAAGGTGAGGCAGCATCTAAGGTAGCCATAGAATCTAAACCAGGTTTAAACTGCTTTGACCCAGTTGAACTTTCAGAGTTAGCAAAACTATTGTCTTCGTCTAAGCCTTCAACTTGTATGTTACATCCAGTTCCAACCAGGCTATTTAAGGAGGTATTCACTTTGATCTCCTCCTCCATTTTAGACGTGATTAATCTCTCCCTGTTACAGGGATATGCACCAAAGGCTTTTGAGGTTGCTGTAATTAAACCTTTATTTAACGAACCATCTCTTGACCCAGATGACTTGGTCAATTATAGACCTATATCCTATCTTCCTTTCTTGTCTAAAATTCTTGAGAAAGTAGTTCCCAAACAAGTGTGCGATCACTTACACCATAATTAACTTTCATAGCACCGAAACAGCACTGGGGAAAGTCGTTAATGATATTCTTATGTCCTCAGATAATAGAGTTGTATCTGTACTTGTCCTGTTAGATATCACTGCTGCATTTGACAACATAATAATGTTCTTTTGAAGAGACTTGAATTTCTTTGTGGTTATTGGGGGAATGGTCTTTTTCTATGTCTGCTTCTGTCTCCTTGAACCCTAGTTGGCCTCGGCAGATGGCCACTCACACAGAGTCTGGTTCTACTGTACGTTTCTTCCTGTTAAAAGGGAGTTTTTCCTTTCCACTGTCGCTACAAGCGTGCTTAGTGTGAGGTATTGCCTTTGAGTCAATGAGTGGATGCAATGATTTGGTTTTCCTTGGATTGAAATCTTGAAATCAATTTGACTGTATTATCTGATTTAATTTTAAAGTGCCTTAAGATGACGTGTTCTTATTTGACGCTGTATAAGTACACTGAATTGAAATTGATTTGAAGGGTCTGAGTATTTATGTTGATCTAAATTCTGTACAGGTTTATGCTTACATTTGATTATTGTTTCTTCTGCTTTTTTTGGATTTTATCTGCCGTGCTTTTAGAATGTATATAGGTGAAAGTAACATGTCTTTTATCATTTCTCTCTTCCAGCTGAGACCTGTGGTGGTGTAGTCCAAGGCCTAAATGGAACTATAGAGTCCCCAGGTTTCCCCCATGGCTATCCCAACTATGCCAACTGCACATGGCTGATAATCACAGGGGAGAGGAACCGAATCCAGCTAACCTTCATTACGCTGGCACTAGAGGAAGACTTTGATATTGTATCAGTGTACGATGGACAGCCGTCGCCTGGCAACTTGAAAATGAGGTTTGAAATTACTCCTTTTTTGTTGCTTCTCCCCACCTCCCCCCCCTGCTCTCTTGCATTTTTATAACATCTGACTTACATTTGAGTTAATCTTATGCGTTTTTTAAAACTACTGCTATGTCTGTTTAAAGGCCATATGGTCAGTGGCCTTGTGGCATTTGAATGGATTGCAAAAACTTATTGCTAGTCTGTCAGTTGCACCCTCAAATATTTCTTTTTTGCTTTTTGATATGCATTGAAATGGGAGTTAGCACCCCCTGCTTACTCCTGGAGAAAATTATATTCTTATTGCGCTTTGTGCATGAATGCAATGCATTTATATCAGTTTAAGGTTTGGATTATTTCGGCCATTTTTAGCTAACTGTATAAATAAGCTTTGAGATTCTTATGATATACATATGACATGAAACTATATAAGATATATATACAAATTAGTATTACATTTAACAAAGAGATAGAGGGTAAGGTTACTTTGCCAAATGTTGGCTGTTAAATTACAAGTCCTGTTAAAGAGCAAGCCACTATAGGCTATCACCCTAGGGTGATAAGGTGATGGGCTGTGGTACCACCTGGATGGATTCCAGGTTTCCACGGGCACAGAATAACATTTAATTGTGCAGTGGGGTAAAAGGTGAGGTTTTTCTTATTTATTTGGTAAGAGTGCCTTACACATAGAATACCCCAAATCAAATCTCTTTTAGCCAATTATCCTCAGAGGTCATATGCCTAGAAGTCACTTATTAAGTTAAGCTCAGTGTTAGTAAAGCTACATGGTAAAGGCTTCATGGGTTATTAGCCAAGAACAGCTAAACAAAAGGAAAGAGACTCCAGGTCTGGATCAAGTAGAGTTTAATGTATGGTTAATCTATATAAGAACATCTCCAGCTTTGAAAAATGTTGTACAGCTCTGTTGAAGCTACACCATAGAAAACGGAAAGAGCACCTAAATCAATAGGCTGTGCAGCAGCATGTGGGAAACATATAAAACATATGGAAAACGTATTTTTAAGAATACATTGTATTCATGATAGTCATGCAAAACAGTATATGTAGAAAGGGCCATGTTTTCGATGATCGATTGATTCAGGCCTAGTTAAATATAAAGAATCTGTGGCAAAAGTTTTAAAATTTACAAACTACAAAAAATCCCCTTCATGAAAGGGGATCCTTGAAGTAAAATTTCAGTGGAACTGAATGCAAATACCTTAGTCTTTTAATAAAAAAAAAAAATTGAATTAGCATTTTCCCCTTCATTTCACATTCAAGGTTCATTTCCAATAGGGCAGAACTATTGTGCCAAAAATCTAAATTGTGAATATTTTTAACCAAAATTGCTACTGCAAATTTAGTATGATTTATTTCTTTGCACTGACCTCAAGATCATGGATGTTTCAGCTTTTGAGAGCTTGCTTGCCCTGAATCCATTGTTGCAGAATTTTATCGTAACCTTTGTGTGAAAAAGTGTTAACTTTTACAGTACTTGCATACATGAATCTGTGTGCTAGCTGCAATTCTCTCTACCTTTCTGTGTGGTCACACTTTAAACATTTTAAAAGTTTTACCACCTCCCTTGAGGCCTGAAATGAGAAATTAATGTCTTACTCTTGTTAAATGTGGTGTGATTAAAATGAAGTGACTCTGCGATTTGAAAATTGCATTTTGTTAAATTGCGATTATATTGCAAATGTAATTAACTGCCCAGCAATAGTTTCTAACACATGCAACGTCGATGAAATACATTGAAGGTTTTTGTTTATATATTAAATACAATAAGAAGGGCTTCGGAGGTAAGAACCCCTTGCTTTAAATTGATTGTTTCACTAATAATAAAAATGTTTAAAGGTCTAATGCTTTAAGAAGATGTGTTGATGCTTTTTTTTCTTTTTTTTGGACCATGTTTCTTCTTCTAAACGTTTACAAGTTGATCACTGGTGCACTTTAAGAAATGGAAATGTCATGAGAGCTGTAAAAAACGTAATTTCGTTTTGTATAAAATCTGTGCATACAAGATGACAATAAAGTTATCTAAGTCATTTACAATTAGTGTGCAGCAATGCGCACATTAATTGATCAGGGATTCTTAAGCTTTTTTATATAAAGAATGCTAATAAGAATGGGTGAGAAACACATTTCACAACTAAGATTGATCTTATAACATTTTATGTTAAATATCTAGTGGTTGTGTTGTTAAAGCAATCCAGAAGTAAAAACTAAACTAGATAATACATTGGCCAAGTTTTTAGCATCCTCAAAGACATGGATGACTCTTTATTGTAGTGCAATAGCTTTATTTATTGTTATATTTTTTATATTGCTATATTTTTTTGTTCTTTACACTTTTAATGATAAACGTCCTTGTATTCCTGAGCTGTTGATGAATGGGTGGCATCCCTTCTTGGTAGAGAGGGTGGAATTGTGCTTTTGCCTTAGAAAGGACAACAATAACAAATATAGATAGCTGGTAAGCTAAGAAATCTTATTCATAGTGCTCTGTGTTTAGGAGGAATTAGTTGGGAATGCACTAAGTGGTGTAATGTTGGTGTTAAAGTTCGATTTTCTTTCACTTTAAAATACTTCTCAGCTGTGCCATGAGTCAATGTTTTAAAAGAGTTTTAATCAGGAGTCCTTTTTGACACAGGTTGTTTTCTAATTTGGCATTATAAGACAGAGTGACAAAGGATAATATGAAATAACTTTTGAGCAAGATTATACAATATTTACATCAATTCAGAGGATGTCTATGACTCAAAGTAATGATCAGTTTGCTTTATTTCAATAAGCCAACCATTTTTTCTCCTGTAGCCGAATAATTTACAGCAACTCCTATTTTTTATTTTTGTTTTGTTTTTAATTCATTCTTTCTGCCATGATAGATGAAAGTAATAGTTCAACATTACAAATTGGCATACCAAAAAAAAACAAAATTGTTGTCTTTGTTAAAACTGAAAAAATAGCACATGTAAAAAAAAAATAAATAAAAATACCTCGCAACATTCAGCTTATTTATTGCCTTTTCAGTGGTATGGTATTTGTTTCAGTCCCATTGGAAAAGTTAAATACAATCTTCTTCCTCATCTTAATCTATGGTGGCAGAAGCTAATTTTATTAACCTGCATTTAATCACAGTATTAATAATTTAGTAGAGGTAGGAGAAAGCTTAGCAAGCTGTGTTTTCCAACCTTCTACTTCTATTTAGAGGGACGGCAAGCTGACAAGACTAAAAAGGATTTGCTTGTGCAAGGCTGCTTGGCCCCGATGAGCTGTGGCAAGATTATCTCCTAAGATAGACAGTCTCAGGAGACGCACTATGCATTCATCAACTTATTAGTCGCTTCACTTACTAATTTTCATAATAGCTTCTCAAAAGTCCAACCTTTTAGCAACTGGAGTTATTTTCTATTGAGAAAAATTGGAGAATCAAAGAAGACAGAAGAGATATGAAAATAAAATACTGCAAGTAAAAAAAAAGAAAAAAAAAACACTATTGAAGAACTACTGAAGAGATGTAACTTTTTTTTCAGACAACATTCATATTGACATTTGTTGATATTGATGGCGTAAGTATGATAGGACCCATATTCAGCCTTGTGTAGCAAGTTCCCTGCAAGAGCAAATCCTTTTAAAAGTAAGTAAATAAAAATCAGCCCTCATGAGCTAATAAAATTTTTTTTTTTTTTCAAAACTCCAGTCATTACCAGGTGCATCACATTTAAACTTGGGTATCGCAAAGTAAATGCATGTCAGTAACAAAAGTAAAACTCAAGGACGATACGTTTTAGCTACTTAATTCTGTTGGTTTATTATCAAAGGTTAACAATAAAAAAAAAGTTGAAAGAGAAATGTTGGCGAGATGAAAGTACATCCTAAACAGTGCAGTATATGTCCTCCATGCATAGTTTGAGATCCTTTTTGCATAAATTACTATAGCAGTGTTTTTTGACATGGACACATTAAACCAAAGGCTCTGAGTTGTTAAAGAAGCTTAAGTTGCTTTAAAAGCAGCCTTCAAGTCAATCACATTGTTTGGTCTTATGTCTCTATGATGAAACATTTCCCTCATAAATCTACAAATATAGGCAACCTCTGAGCTGCCTCTGGCGAATCATAAATCACAGGTTGAGATGGTGATATCCCATGGAGATGTAACCTTTTAGAGCATGTGCAACAACAGTTTTTGTTGTATGGGAATGACAAAAGCATTAGGGATACACATAAAACCTGTGATGAAAATCTTCTCGACCATTTTTTTCAAAACAATAATGGTGGCTTTCTTTAGTGGTGTGATACACTTCTGTTTTTATGATGTTTTAAGTATATTTTTTAATATGTTCAGAAATTGAAGATGCAGATGGTCAAAGTGTTTTCATCCTTTCTCCCATAAGAAAAGTATCAAATGCCTGCCTATTGTTAGATTAAAACCAAATTATTTCTGAAAGACAACAAAAGTGCTGCAGATAACTGCTTTGGAGAATGAGTTGAGAGACGTTGGCAGCTTCAACGTTTTCCCACCTTGACGGCTCTAGGATTTATGTCATCTGTCACCAGAGTTATTTGGTACCTACAGTTTTCTAGCAAATAAAACATGCCAAGAGCGTTTCACATGCTCCTAAAGGGCCTCCGTGTGAAAAATATCAGTAAAAGACCATTGTGTCTTTAGCCTTTGGCCCCAAGTGCAGCAACCTGCTACAATAATCCCATTCCCACTGCTATTTAGATTACATACTGTAAGAGGTTTCCTGTTTTTTCATCCTTGCTCCATTGATGATGATAGCACTTTTCTAAAGATATTGCACAGGGACAGTAACATATTGCTTAGTTGTGACCACTGACCAGCCACCTTTTGTGTCCTTAGGGTCTTTCTTCGGCTGTGCTACAGCAGCCAAAAAAATATTGTCTAAGGCCACTTCCTGCTCTATCCAGTTTTATACTTCGATCTATGCACAACATCAAAGACTGCAACTTATTTGTTAAGTTGAATTAATTGTTCTGCCGATATGAGA